TGACCCTGTCCAAACCCCCAGTTATGACAAATTTGAACAAATAAATGAAGCTTTTCCAGTTTTGGTATATTGTAAAAGACATTTTCAGACACATATAAAGCACTCTTCTGTTCACCAAATATTTTATATATAATTTTTGTCATTGTCTAGAAAAATAAGTAAAAGAAAGTATTTGCTTGGCTACTTCAAACCAATCTAATTAACTGACCATATTAACAGATTAAACTGGCAGTCTAGACCTAAGGGAAATTAAGTGCTAAATGTTCTAACTTCTATCATTCTAGAAGTATCATTTTGATACTTAAAGGCAACCATTGCATTTGGTAATGAGATTGGTTAGCTTAAATCTTCTAAAGTATTTACCAATTACAAAAATCTGTATTTCCAGAATTCACATGGACAGAGAAACTACTCTTAAAATAGAGTCCTACTCTACAGCTGGGTTTCTAGCCTTGGTATTATTGACATTTAGGTTGGATAGTTCTTCACTGTCATGATTCATCCTGAGCATTGTAAGATTTTTAGTAGCATCTCCGGGCTCTACACACTAAGTGCCATTAGCACCCTTTCTCCCATGACAACTAGAGTTACACCAGGTAGTGCCAGATGTCCCCTGGGAAGGCAGTCACTTATGAATTGCTGTTTCATAAAGGCAGATCACATTTTTTGGGGGAGAAAAATAACAGAAATGCTAATATCGATGTTAAATAGATGCAGGTTGTGGAATATATGTATGTTATACTTAAAATCATACCTTGATTAATGTACTTTTTAAAGCAAATTTCTCAAGTTTGAAATCATAATTTAGCTTTCCTGTATAATAATGAATAGTGAAACAAAAGTTTCTTTAAAAAGCTAAAGTTTTACAAAGTGAATAATTAATTTCTAGCTAACTCCAAACAATTAATTTATAATTTCAGACAAGACTATGTAGCGAGTATTTATTTTATTGAAAAGTAAAAGCAATAAAAAAATTACCATATTTAAAAAAATATAGCTGAGATGACAAAGACTGGCTGATCAACTCCTAGGGCAGTTGAACAGGTAAAGTCAGCTTTGGTAAATAAATTATGGGAACCAGAAGAAGGCATGGTGGCTAAGGCGCTGGACTCCCACATTCTCCACTGTGCTTCAAGTCCCAGACCTGGTGGCTAGAAACTCATTTCAGTGAGTTTCTGGTTATGTGTATGTGTGCCTGAAATCCCAGAAGGAGAATGGAGAAGGGATTGCAGTGTGGACACCCTCTTTGGGGAGCAGTGATTTCTTGCTTTCTGTCTCTCTGTTTCTCAGGTGAGCATATACACTCTATAGCAAAAATCTCTCTCTCAAAAAAAAAAAAAAAAAAAAAAAAAAAAAAAAACGATGGGCCGGCGGCAGGGCTGGAAGGCGCCGGAGGCAGCCCAACCACAGGGAGGCAGGTAGGAGGCCGAGCATACAGTTAGGGTGGGGACTCCCACCATCTCTGCAGCCCTCCTCCCGGGCCCTGGTACCAGGCCTCACCTGCCCGCAGGCGGAGAGCCGCCCGTCACCCAGGGCCACGCTCGGGCTGGTGCAGGGGTGGTTTAGATTAGAATCCAAACAAGGAAAAAGAGCCAAAAATAGGGGTGAGATAAAGGTCAATATTCAATTTATGAGGAACAATGTGACAGCGAGTATGTTTGACTTATCAATGAAAGACAAAACAAGATCTCCTTTTGCAAAATTGAAAGATAAGATGAAAGACAGAAAGAATGATGGAACATTTTCTGATACGTCTTCTGCAATCATTCCAAGTACTCACATGCCTGATGCCAGTACTGAATTTTCAAGTGGTGAAGTGCAGATGAAATCCAAACCAAAAAAGCCTTTTCTTTTGGGTCCTCAGCGACTCTCTTCAGCGCATTCAATGTCTGATTTAACTGGATCCCACATGTCTTCTGAGAAACTGAAGCCTGGTACCATGGGTCAAGCACATCTTCTCGGACGCCAGATAGAGTCCTTTGGAACAGTTCCCGAGAGTGGAAGTCTCAAATCTCCACACAGAAGAACATTAAGCTTTGATACTTCTAAAATGAACCAACCTGACAGCATTGTGGATGAAGGTGAATCATGCTTTGGAAGACAAAATGACCCATTTACAAATGTGACTGCTTCATTACCCCAAAAATTTGCAACACTGCCAAGGAAGAAAAATCCATTTGAAGAAAGCAGTGAATCATGGGACAGCAGTGTGAATTTATTTTCAAAACCAATTGAAGTAAGAAAAGAAAAGAAAAGAGAGAAAAGGGAGAAAGTTAGTTTGTTTGAAAGAGTAACTGGAAAAAGAAGATAGCAGAATCTGATAAACTTAACATTGGGGGATCTGATAGCCCTTGTGACTTGAAATCACCTAACGCATTTAGTGAAAATCCTCAGGACTATTTTGATTATGAGTCAACTAATCCGTTTACAACAAAATCCAGGGCTTCAAATATAATGCCATCTTCAAGTTGAGTCATGGAGCTGTATTCTATGTCTGTCACTCCCTGCCTGTTTCCATATGAATCTGACAAGCAATGAGGATCTCAGGAAAGTCCCGGACAGCAACCCTTTTGGTGCCACTGTGGGATATCGTAGTCTGATTTATGAAGAGGTACTGCGGGAGCTGGTGAAGCACAAAGAACTCCTTAGGAGGAAGGACACCCATATCCGGGAACTCAAGGACTACATTGACAACCTCCTCGTCAGGGTAATGGAAGAAACGCCCAGTATTCTCAGAGTGCCATACGAACCATCCAGGAGAGCTGCAAATTCTCCAGTAGTTAACAAAACGGAAGGTACTGCATTTATAATTAGAAAAAGAAAGAGAGAAAAAGGAAAAACTTGTTACTGAAAAAACACTATCAGGTTTCATTATATATTCTCTTCCATTGTGAAAAATGGTTTTACCTGTAAATACCACCAGGGACTATCAAGAGTGATCTTTGAAGCAAGCAAAGTAATTTAAACTTTTAAAGTGAAAATGGGCAGATTCTTGAAGAATACGCAGTTTTAGGATTCACTTAGGTGCTGGTGCCAGCCCAGTCATCTGCCTGAGGCCTCGAAATAGCTTCAGAAGTACAGGAATTATTCCTCAGGAGGAGATTTTGCATAAAGCAGATTAGTGCTGTGGTCAATTTCTCAGAAGTCAATTTATAGACATGTTTAGCTTCAGGAATACTGCTCATTATAAACACTACTAAAAATAAGTTCATATTTTATATACATCTATATGTACATGAACATATGTTCACATATTTTTGTATATAAACTACATTCATATACCTCATACATATGTGTGTTTTAAAAGCATTTAAAAGTAACTGGTTGCCTCTAAGGCTAGGGCACCAGTTTCTTAATTTGAAGATGGACTTGTTCTCTATCGATGCAAGACAAGTCATCACTACCTACTGTTATGGTTTGTAATAGAGGAGCTGCTTCAAATCACTCTTGACTAGATGAACCTTGGATTTGTACTGAGATGCTGCATATTTTTCCAGCATCAACTTTTTGCTCTTTTTTTCAAAAATAATGATCCAAAGTCATCGTCTTTTTTTTAATGACAAATTTTATTAAACCTCAGTAACTTTACAACAGTATAAATTTCTTTGAGTTAATTTCTTAACATTTGAGTTTTGTTTAAAGTATAAGTAGAAGATAAGCTAATGCAGTTTGTTTCATTGAAATTCTACATGCCTTTAAATCACTGGCAAAGAACATGCTACAGAGTTATATCTGAAAATGATTTGGGGGCAGGGAAAGGTGTGATTGTCTGGTGCCTGATAACTCAAAGCAATGGGCAAATTCTAGAAATGAAGAATTAGGCTTGGTTTCAAGTTACATAAATAATGTGAAAAATGGTTGCCTTTGGGTCTTGAACCAAAATAAGACTTAGTCAAGAAGGAGTTTTTTGAGCAGATCTGTACTAGCGTGACATTACACATTACTCTACATCCACCCTGTAAGATTGATTTATCACAAAATGATGTTTTTTAGGAAAAAAATATTCCCCAAAATATTGATTCCTTCCATGGATTATTTTTAAATATTTGTATAAAATTATTCTGTAAATTAAATGAAAAAACAAGAGTATAAAAGTATTTCTCATCTTGGCCTTAAAAATAGAAACCACTATGAAACACTAAGACTTATCTGTGTCTTTTTGAATTTAAAAATGAAAAGTTCATCACCATATGGAAATTTAAATGTTCTCTAAACCATTAATGAATTACATTTTTTCTAATATCTATCTCTGTTTTGACTTCATTGAAAGTTAAATTAAAAACAGATGTGATCATTTTACTTATTTTAATATTTCAAATTGGAACACTTGTCCAAACTTATATTCACAAACTAAAATTTCTTGTTATTGTATTTTATGAACATTTTTTTAGTTTTTCTATGAGCATGAATTTCGAAATACTGAAAATATTTTCCATTATAAAAAATTAGATTCTAAAATTAAGAAGTGGAAAAAGAAAAAAGCTTTTATCAATTTCTCTGTCCCTTAAAATTCTGTAATAAAATTCAGAATCTGCTATAGAATTTTCCCATTTGAGGTTTTGCTGGTTATAATAATTATTTTTAACATGGTGCCATGTTTAATTGACATTTGTTAAATGTTATAAAATTATTAGCATTTGTTTTTTTCTGGTAGTATTATTGAGACTCTGACACTTTTAAAAATACCAAAATCCATGTATTTTTCAGTATTATGATAGATACCTACGTATATTGCAGTGTATTTTGGCCAGATTTGCCCTTTGTAGAACCAACATGTCCATTTTGTATTGTGGATATGTTTTACATAACTAGAGCTCATTAAAAAGTGTAGTTTAAGACTGCTATTCTTTTTCTGAGGAAATTCATTTTAAGGACTGATTCTTTACCTATATAAAAACTATAAGGATTATATGCATCCATACATAAGTGATTCATTTATAACTGAATCAATATTCTTACATTGAAATCTGAGACAAGTATTGTATTTAAAAACTGAATCTGTATTTATCACTGCCTGGAAATACTCTGTCTCAATGTTTATGAATTTTATTCATGACCTAGAGTAAACTTATTACATACTTTCATAATAAGTCACTATAATAAACTAAAAACAAAAAGTAAAAATGAGTTCCCAAGTAAACATCAGCATTTCCTGTGTTTTGGCAAAAGTGCATAGTAGTTTTCATTTCTAGCATTGAAGAGAAAAGGCCAAAAAGATCACTTTAGTTTACTTTTCCAAAATACAACTTTAAGTATTATAATGATGTATTTTGTTGGTAACTTAATAAATGGAAGGTACAGTAGACTTATAAGTGGATTTTACTTTTGCTATTATGCTTTAAAAAAATGTATGCTCAAAAACATTTCTAACAGTAAGAGGATTTTTTTAGTCACAAAATTGGTATTTCTCTCAAACCAATCTTAAGCTAACATACTTCAATTACATGAATAAAACATTTCTGCTATTATTTTGAGGAAAACAGTATTATTTTACAGCCAGTTCTCCTCCCAGTTCTAAAATTCAGCTTTAAAAGTAAGTATTGAATATACCATCCCAGTTTCATTTATTGAATACCGGGGTCCTGTCTTCGAACCTGTACATAAAATAAAGTTGTAACCTATTCATAAAAAATGCTTACGTAATGCTTTTTGCTGCTATGTTCTGCATCGAGCCTAGTTTGCCATCCTTCCATGAATGTAGAATTATCCATAGATTATACATAACTACATCTATTGCTTTTGGCAGTAAATCAAGATTTAGTCGTAATTTTCCAGCTGTGAAAATGTTGCTTTGTATTTAAAAGGGTTTCATGAATGGAAACCTAAGTAAAACTAAGCTCATTAGTGACAGACTTGCTTTCTTCAAGTCCTTCCTTCACCAACTTCCCCGCCCCATCCCTCCCTGCCTACCACCCCCATAAGGGTGCTTTTTCTTTAACAGGGAGAATCTTTTAAAAATAAGTAAACAAATAAAAGAACTGCAGTCTTTAATATATCTACAGTAATCGTTACACTAGAGATTTTATTTTCTTCTGTAGCCTTTCAGAAAAAGCAACCTACTTTGGTTTTGTAAATCAAGCCAAAACTTTTGATGTTTGTGTACTCCAATGTCTTGTAGATATCGTAGGTGTCACTTGTGTGTAAGTGAAGTATAAAGCATGCTCATGCACTTGGTCTCTTTGAAGTGAGAGGGAGAGGATCACAGTGCTGCTGGTTCATGGTGGGAGCAGAGAGCTCTGTCAGCATACATTGAGAGCCCCCATGTTCACAGATTTATAACTTTAATAATCTAGATGCAATCATTGCAAGTATTTAATATGCAATAGGTAGCACCTTAACTAATTAATCTGCATATGAACGGTTTTCAGATGTATTTAATAAGTGTAGAAGCTTTTCAAGCATTAAACTACAGTTGACATTTTATTTCACTTATTTTCTCTGTCAAAAAATCCACTCTTCCAATGGAATTGTGACAGATGATGCATTTGGGCTTATTAATCTTCAAAGCCTCCAGATGGTTTGTATTTTGAAGTACAAAAAAATGCTGCAGATCTAGAAATGTATATATTTAGCAGGTATTTGAAAGAGATAAGCATTATTTATAACTGAAGAGTATTATGCTTATCTTCTTAAGAAAATGCTTGAGTAAGTTGTATACTTTTTTGCAGGTACAAACTCAAATGTACATAAGCATTGTATAATGTGACAGGTGTATAATTTATGTAACTTGGTGCATGAATCAGAATTTTTATATCTGACTGTTGATTTATTATAGTTGATTAAAGTGTTTAAACTTAAAAAAAAAAGATAAAATCACTCTGAGGTTGTGTATGCCCTCGATCTGGGAGGACAATAGAAGGGAAGAGATTCCAGCATGGCCATCTTCCCTAGGGCTGAGCTCTCTCTTTCTCTCTTTCTATCTCTCTCCAGCAAGCACATGGGCCAAATGGCAAAAACCTTAAAAAAAATTGTTTTGTGTTTAAGTTTCCCATTGAACGGTGGTGGTAAAGGAGAAGGTAGTAACATTTAGAAACCTCAAATTTGGGATCAGCAGATGCCATAATGGCTATGTCACTAGACTCCAAAACAGTCGACAACAGTTTGAATCCAGGATCATGCAACTTGAAACTCATGCTGTGTGCATATGTGTGTGTGCCCAAAATCCTGAGAGCAGAACAGAGGAGAAGGCATTGCAACATGGCTATGCCCCCTGGGGGTGATTTCTCACTTGCTGTCTCTCTGTCACTCTTTGTCTCTCGGGCAAGTGCACACACCCTCTAGAAAAATAATCTCTAAAATTTTTTTAAAGTAAAAAGGGCAATACTCTTTAAAAAAAGAAAAAAGAACCCCCAATTCACAGAAATAAGAGATGAGACCATTAAATAAATGCATCATCTCATCACTATATTGGGTTCAAGCTAAAGCAGACCACATTGTTGGTTAATTTCATCTTGTTTCTGCATTGTCTAGCAGAAATTTCCATTACATGGAACAAGAAAATCACACAGAGCTTCCAATATTTCTCCTCCTAGGACTTTCTGAGAAGCCAGAGGTTCAGTCTACTACTGGGGGGCTGCTCCTGTCTTTATACCTGGTGGCCATCATTGGAAACCTGCTCATCCTCCTGGCCACCATCTCACACTCTCACCTGCACACACCCATGTACTTCTTCCTCTCCAACCTGTCCTTTTCTGTGATCTGTTTCACCTCCACCACTGTCTCAAAGATGCTGGTGAACATCCAGACACAGAACAAGGTCATCACCTATGCAGGCTGCATCACCTAGATATATTTTTTTTTTCAGTTTTTGGAACTTATGACAATTTGCTTCTGACCATGATGGCTTATGGCCACTTTGTGGCCATCTGTCACCCCCTCCCTGCACTACACGGTCATGATGAATCCCTCCTTGCTCTTTGTCCAGTTACTTCTCTTGACCTGGCTGGTCAGTGTGCTGAGACCTCTTCCTGAGAGTTTAACCACATTGAAGCTCTCTTTCTGTATGGTCGTCGAAGTCCCACACTTTTTCTGTGAACTTCCTGAGGTCCTCAAGCTTGCCTGCTCTGACACCTGCATCAATAACATTGTATTATATATTGTTACGGGCATCATGGGCTTTTTGTTACGGGCATCATAGGCTTTTTTCCTCTTGCTGGAATCCTTTTCTTTTATCGTCAAATTGTTTCTTCTGTCCTGAAGATGTCAACAATAGGAGGGAAGTAGAAAGAATTTTCCACTTGTGGATCTAACCTCTCAGTAGTCTCCTTGTTCTATGGAACCTGCCTGGAGATTTAATCTCAGCTCCACATGAACACATGGCTCCTGGACAGGGACCTTGGCCACAGTTCTGTACACTGTGGTCACTCCAATTTTGAACCTCCTTCATTTATAGCCTAAGAAACAGGAACGTGAAGAGGATCCTGAGAAGGTTTCTCTGCTGCATGTCATCTTCCCAGTGATGGCTTCAGGAACCCTGCTCCTGAACGTGTGTAATCAAAGGCAATGGAGGGGCCAGTGGATAGCTCAGTAGTTAAGTTTCTGGACTCTCATGGAGTTGACAGCGATTCAAGTCCCAGACCCAGCAGATTGAAACTCATGCTGAGCACATGACCATACATGCCCAAAACCCTGATATGAGAACAGAGAAGAAGGGATTGTAGCATGGCCATCCCCCCCCCAGGGGGTGATGGTGATTTCTTGCTTTCTTTCTCTGTGGTGAGCACTTGTGCCCTATAGCAAAAATCTCTCTCTCTCTCTCTCTCTCAATAAAAAAAAAGGCAATGGCACTGAGTATTCAGTAGTGAGGACATGGAGGCTTTGCTTATGATACTTACATGCAATTATCAAATATCCTTTTATAAAGAACATCTTCATATCTTTCATGAAAGATCTTAATTTTCCATCACGTGTACCAGAAGGTCTATGCGCTAATTGACTTTCTCTGTCACCTTTTTGACTACCTGTGCCAGCCTCACTTTGCCTATCTGATTGCACCTTTCTAACTTTCTAACAGACATCTGATATGTTCATACAGGTTTTTAGGTTATTTCATCCAATGTGCTCATCCCATTCCAATGTGTTTATCCCACACCAATATATTCACAACATCCCAGTGTGCTAATTTCACATCAATGTACTTACACCATACCAAAGTGCTCACCCACACCAATGTGCTCATTTCACGCTAATATACTCACACCTCCCCAATATGCTTATCTCACATCAACGTGCTGATCTCACACATTAAATTCAAAGGTTATAGGCACCCAACAACAATCTAAGGGTACATCTATTAGATACTCTTTGTGTTCCACCTATGTATTTTCTTCTTGATAGAGAAATTGAAAAATAACCCCATGACCCCTTTTCCTCCATTTTCCTTTTGGGATTTTGAGCATATGCACACATGTGCCCAACATAAGTTTTAAGCCCCTGAATCTGGAACTTGAATCTTGGTTGACTGCATGGAATTCCAGTGATGTAACTATTATGCCATCTGCTGGTCCCCTAACCCATATTTCTTAACTCCTATGACTTTTTAAGCTTTTCCAGATCAATATAAAATGGTCAGCTTCTGGTTCCCTTTGAAAGCTTTAACAAACAAACTGAGCCCCCTTACATCGTTATCTGTGAGTTGTGGTGCAATACTACTTCCCCAGGAATTCAATGCATTCACGGCAGTCTACACCTGACCTTTAGTATCACAGCTGAGATATTGTCTGCTTGGGCTCTTGCTCTGCAGCCCTGCCATGGTCTGGCCAAGGAAAGCTATTTTTCACAAATCCAGCCTCTTCTGAAAGACATCTGCCACCCCACCATTGACGTTTGTGCCAGATCATTCTCTGTGGTGGATGTTGCCCTGTTCATTCTGGGATGTTGAGCACCATCTTGGCTTCAGCCTACTAGGTACTAGGGATACCTCCTCAGTTGTAACAATGAAAAACTTCTCCAGGCATTACTGAGGGTCCACTAGAGGCACAGTTATCCTGGTTGATAACCACTGATTCAGTGCAGGAGACATAAAAACATCTTGATGATGTATGAATCAAAGCCAACCATTACTTGGTTCATATCTTAGACAGATCACTTAACCCTTCTGAGCCCCATTCCTGCAAATGTAGATTAAATTTCTAATAGTATGATCACATGGAATGTTCATATGTAAAAATTAAATGATACAATCAAAATAATATTCAAATTTCAGCCCATAGTGGATAAAGAGATCTAAAGAAAAATGCTTGCAGCCACAAATACTATACCTGGCAAGACTAGCCTTTACACAAGAAGAAGAAAATAAAATATTCTCTGATAAAGAAAAACTGAAAGAATTCACCAAAAGTAGGTCAGTTCTTCAGGAAATACTTAAGGAAACACTATATCTGGAAAACTAAAATAGATAATAGAACTAAAGTAGATAAATAGAAACAGGAGAACACAATACTAGCAATAAAGGGGTAAGGAACTAAATGACAGGGCTAAGTCCAAATATATCAATAATAATGCTGAATGTTAATGAATTTAGTTCCGCAACTAAATGACACAGATTGGCTCAAAGGAGGAAAAAATCAAGAACTCTCTATATGTTGATTATGAAATATAATACATTTCTTATGATTACTAAAAGTTTTATAAATTAAGATGTAAATGGAAGCACTTTTTTCATTAGGTTTTTGCCATAGGCATGTGCACTCAACAGAGACAGACAGTAAGAGGAAAAGTGAGAAATCAATCTCCCGAGGAGGAGGTGCCAATACCACAATCCCTTCTCCTCCCTTCTCCTCTTGACATTTTGGGCATACATGCACACACCCGAGGAGGAGGTCCCAATACCACAATCCCTTCTCCTCCCTTCTCCTCTTGACATTTTGGGCATACATGCACACACACCCAGTGTGATTGTCAAACAACCAGGTCTGGGACATGAACTGTGGTTGGATATGTGGGAGTTGAGTGCCTTTACTGTTATGGCAACTGCTGACCCTGTAAATGGCAGCTCTTAATTTGTGTTACAAGTTTGAAATTTCTTTTCCTTTTTTCTTTTTTTTCCTTTTCTTTTTTTTAGCGATTTTGTATTAAAAAAAAAAAAAGGTGTGTGCACACATCAGAAAGACAGAGAGACAGAAAATGAGAAATCACCCACAGAA